TCGGAGAAGAAAAAGCTACCCATACCGCTGCCCTTCCGTCGTTTCTGTTCCTTTTTTGGGCTTCCTCGGAGGCCCTCGTTGCAACCGCCAGATTCGCCTCGGAATCCTACGTAGCCAGAGCGCACCCCGGGAGAGGTCCGGGGAGTAGGTCTGGCATGTCCCTCTACAGGAGGAATATTCAAGAATACTTTAAGAAATAGTCTGGGGACGATGTTTTGATAATTACCGAAGAACTTTTGTATGTTTTTACAATCGTTTTTGTATCTCCCAAGATCCGCCTGTAGGAGGACATGCCCGACCTACGAGTAGCGGTCTTGGCACCTTTTGGTTTCCCCAGTCAGGGCGTGAGAGGCTCAGGGGGTAAGAGGACACGCTAGGCGTTTGCTTCTCTGAGAAGCCGAAGGAGTGCACGCTGAACGCCGGACAACCGCGTGTAGAGTGCACCTCACTTCGACGTGCACTCTGAGCACCGAGCGCGTTCCACTACTCGCAAAGTGCCTACTCGCAAGCGTCCGAAAAAGCATGTCTTCTTTTCTATAATGGATCATAGATCCCCCGCGGGTGATCCAGGCCATCTGCGAGTACTTACTTTGCCAGTAGTGGAACTCGCTTGTCGATCTGGTACACTCTGCTGTACAGAGTGCACTTGCATATCCAGATGTACACTTCTAAACGTCGCATGCAGAGTTAGTATCGTTTCACCGCTCCCCATTCCCATCCCCATCCAGACCCCCACCATCTCAGCGCCCCAGTTGGGGATATACCCCTCGAAGTCCGAATGAAGCTTTTTTGGGGCCTGGACAGAACACCCGGGCGACACAACCCGAAGGGAGGTGGCCAAGGTGCCTGCATGAATTCACATGCAGTCGGACCTCGCAACATGAACGGCGGTACAGACCTGCCCCAGGCTTCACATTTGCGCCGCCGCTGCGAGGTGCCTCGAGATGCCGCCCCGAGACATGGCCACCAACACCACCCCCACTTGGGCGCCGGCCTCAAGCAGCGGAGAACCCTGACCAAGGACTTGAGTTCCCGCGCCCCCCACGTCGGGGGACCCCTTCGAGTAACCCCATCGGGCCTCTCAGGGGTGGTACGGCGGGCCTTCACCTACTGTGACTTTCCAGCCACAGGGCAAGAGTCTCTCCCACAGCCCCGTCGAGCTGTGGTGACGATCGGGCTGCCAACCCGCCTGTTTTCCTGGGACGCCACGAGTTCACCCAGCGGCACAGGTGCCAAGCCCGAATGAAGCACCTATATCCCCATCCAGGGAGGCAAATCCGCCAGTGGGGCCCAGGCCACGCCCATGGCGAGAGGGGTCGGTTGAACGATGCTCAAACGTTAAGGGGGTGAGGGGAGGCTCGGAGGGGGCAGGTTCGAGGTTTGAGGTCTTCGGACGTTGTCGCCGCCGCCGTCTCAGATCTCCGACGATCGAGGGTCGAGGGCCTCGAGGGATTTGAGGATGGATGAACGTTTGAGGGTGGAGGGTCGGGGGTCGAGGGTCGAGTGTCGAGGGTCGAGCATCGAGAAGTGAGGATCCCAGATGTGCGAAGGCATTTTGTTTCCTAGATCTAGGCATCTGGGGCCTGCTTGGCAGGCCCTGCAAGGCCATCAAGAAGGGCTCCGGGATGAGAAACTGCCCCCGGGAAAAGGTCGGAATTGAAGAAATTAACGCATCGCCGGATGTCTGGGGCTGTCGCTGCCGACGCTGCCGCCGACGCTGCCGCCGACGCTGTCGCCGCCGCTGCCGCCGACGCTGCCGCTGTTGTCGTTGCCGTTGCCGTCGCCGTCGCCATCGCCGTCGCCGTCGCCGTTGCCGCAGCCGTCGCCGTCGCCGTCGCCGTCGCCGTCGCCGTCGGCGCTGGCGACAGCGCCGCCACCGTTGTCGTCGTCATCCGTCGTCGTCACCCGTCGTCGTCGTCGTCGTCGTCGTCGTCGTCGTCGTCGTCGTCGTCGTCGTCGTCACCCGTCGTCGTCGTCGTCGTCGTCGTCGTCGTCGTCGTCGTCGTCTCCGCGTGCTTCCATCGTCTGCTTGTGAAGGTGGGGGCGCGTTTTTGGGGTGGGCGGGAGCGTCGCTACCGCTGGATCCGCCTCGGAATTCCGGTCAGAACGCACCCCGGGAGAGGCCTGGGGAGTAGCGGCATCGGTGCCCGTCGGTTTCCCCCCGAACAGGCGTTTCGCCCGAGACGTCCTTTGAACGCTCGGCGGCGAGCCCAGGGGAGAAGTGCGAGGGGGCTTCTCGGCAGGCGGGGCTTCCCGGAAGCCCTCCGCGCCTTCTCAGCAGCTCCCCGTGCCTTCTCGGGAGGCCCGGAGGGCCCGAGGCTTTCCGGGCCTCCTCTGCATCGGCCCCCCTCTGCATTCCTCTGCGTTCCCCTCTTTGCATTCCCTCTGCATTCATTCCCCCCCTCTGCATTCCCCGCTGCATTCCCTTTGCATTCCCTCTGCACTCCCCTCTGCAGGGGGCCCGCCCCCTCTGCATTTCCCCCCTCCGCGCCGACACGCTGCAGTGGCTCTCAAGGGGACCTTCAGAGACCAGCCGCTTAGCCGCCGCCGGCCGGGAGGGCCCCCGTCCGACCCGCTGTTTGTATGATTTCAGCAGGGCACTTAAGCTCCGTTTCCTGTAGCGATTGGAACGCTATGGATCATCAGTTTACTCATCATGCATGTTCGTCGTTTTCCTTATTCTTCATCTCCCCGTCTTTTTTTCTCCCGAAGTTTGTTTGTAACGCCTTTGCAAAAGGATTCCTGTTGTGGCAACCTTACAAAAGGAGCTTGCCTCTGGAGGATCTGCAGTGGCCTCCACACTTAGAATCCTCTTGTAGCAGCCTGTACGAAGGGATTCCTTTACTGGCGGCCGTGCAAAGAGGTTTCAATTGTGAGGAATCTGCAGTGGCGGCAACTTGAGCCCAGGAAAGCTAGAGAGGAAACCAGGACAAACAGGTCAAACAAGAAACAACATGTCTGCTCAAGGGAAAAACAAGAAACAGCTATGAAGACCTGAGGTAGCGGCCTTGGCAAAAGGATTCCTTTTGTGGCGACCTTACGGGTTTTAAGTATGGAGGATGTGCAGTAGCCTCCACACTTAAAATCCTTCTGTAGCAGCCTGTACAGAAGCAATTCCTTTTGTGGCGGCTTTTCCGTGTATTTCAGTGTGGGGGGATCAATCAAATTCCCTACAAGCAACAACAATTTGAAAAGCCACACAATCAAATTTAATTTGCAAGCACAATCAATTTGAATATCCTTTCAACCAACTGCAATTTGTAAACCCCCACGCATGGAATCAATTTGTACGAATTCATTTTGATTGTGATGGATTTCCAGGGGTGGCGCCGTGGGGCCGCGGAAGCTTACCAGGAAAACAAGAATAACAGGACAAACAGGAAGAAACTTTTGCTTTCACATGGCAAAAGAGAAGACCGACAAACAAACTAAGGACAACCTGTTTTTGTTAGTACTTTTATTTATTGTGCAATAGAAACTCTGCCAGTTACAGTTTTTTTCATCATTTTTTTCCATGTGGAAGCAGTTTATTGAAACAATGATTTTCTGGCTGTCCTTTTTTTCCTGTTAAGCTTCCGCGGGTCCACGGCGCCGTTTTTGAAAGTCCATTGCACTCACAATAAATATGTGAATATTTTGCAAAATCATTTTCTCTGTGGAAATTTATAAGTTGTATTTGATTGTGTGGATTTGCAATTTGATTTTGATTGCACGCGCTTTCAAAGTAAATTTGAGTGTATAGCTTTTCGCATTGCTTTCAAGTGTCGTGAGTCCTAGTGTTGGCGGCGCCGTGGACTCGCGGAAGCTCACCAGGAGAACCAGACAAACATGAAACAGTTTGCGTTTTCAGATTGAAACTTAGAGACAACTTAGGAAACACTGTGACTGTTAGCGTTTTTACTTGCGCAGCACATCAACACACTAACGATGACATGTCGTCCATAGTTTTTTATGTTTATCTTGTTTGTTCTGGTGAAACGTCGGCGTTTGTTTTTTTTTTTTTTTTTGTTTTTTGTTTCCCCCCCCCCGTTTTTCTTGTTTTCTTGGTAAGCTTCCGCGGCCCCACGGCGCCGCCTCTGGAAATCCATTATAATCAAAATTAAGGTGTACATGGATTACACTTTGACTTCATTTGTTGGGATTTACAAATTGCGTCTGATTGTGTGGAATTTCAAAGTGAGTTTGATTGTATGGTTTTCCAAATTAAACTTGAATGTGTGGCTTTTCGAATAATTTAAGTTAGAGAATCCTAGTGGCGGTGGCGTGGGCTCGCGGAGCATCATCAGGGAGAAATGAAAAAACAATAACAACATGACAAATCAATAACAATAATAACAACATTCAACATCCTTTTGTAGCAGCCTGTACGAAGGAATTCCTTTTGTGGTAGCTCCACAGAAGGGTTTTAACCAATAGGGGATCAATCAAATCCCCTACAATTAAAAGCAACTTGAAAAGCTACACAGCCAAATTTAAATTGCAAATCCGTATCATCAAAATAACTTGAAAATCACCACACTCAAATCCAATTTGTAAATCTTCACATGAGTTCACTTTGTTGTACATTTACACAAAGATTTCGATTGTAATGGATTTCCGGAGGCGGCGCAATGGGGCCGCGAAAGCTTACCAGGAAAACAGGAAAAAACAGGAACAACTGTAAAACGCTTGTATTTTCACGTGGGAAAAGACGGAAGCACCGAAAAAACAAACTAAGGAAAACTTGTGTTCGTTAGTGTTTGAATGTGTCACACCAATAAAAACGCTGACAGGTCTTTGTTGGTAACGAAAGAACAGTTTTCCCAGTGAAACATATTAATTTCGATGCTTTTCCTGTTTTTCTTGTTTTCCTCGTAAGCTTCCGCGTGCCCGCGCCGCCGCCACTAGGGTTCATTCAACTTAGAACAAATTGAAAAGGCGCACAGTCAATTTTAATTGGAAAACCCGTACACTCAAAATCATTGTGGAAATCCACGTCATCAAATTCAAGTTGCAAATCC